TAGCCTAAGGGCATTGGCAATTGGTTTTCAATTAAACTTAATGAATGTAATCAGAGATTTGAAACCGGACTTCAGTCTTTGTGAAAGCCATTTTACTCCCAGCTCACTGCCACTGCTCAAGTGTACCCTTCTCAGAGACCCAACCAAAAGCCTTGGGAATTTACCTGAATCATATTATCATTGGTATGCCCTGAACTTTAATCTTTGAACTATATCTAACCATAGGGTCTGTGAAGAACTCCACTCAAATTCTCAGTTTCTTAACCACTGCATTAGGAATTAGAGGATCTCTTTAGTGGGAAAGTGGTACCAAATGACTGGGCTCATGTAATCGAGCTTTCCTTTTATTCTGGGATTTTGATTTTGCAATTCTTCACTGCTTTGATAATTTTAAGTGATTACAAATAGTTAGGCTTTTTATCTAGCTCTTATTAGTTATATTTGGCAGAAGGGCTGGTTCCAAACAACCTAGTCTCTAATCACCTCATGTGTTTTTTAAAGGATAATTTCTTAGTTCTGTCCAATTAAAAGGCCTAGAAGCAAGAACACTCCAGTAGCATTAAGTACCATAAACACCTAAATTTTGGTTTCTAAATACCATTCCCTCTGAAAGAAACCAGTGCTCCTTAGAGAAATGGCCGATTCCAGGTCCCAGGCTAGGAGATTCTAATCACACTGCTACAGACAGAATGTTTATGTCTCCCCAAAATTCCTATGTTAAAACCTAATCCCCAATGTGATAGTATTTGGATGCCAGGCCTTATGGAAGTGACTGGGTCATGAGTGCCAAGCCCTCATGAATGAGTTTAATGACCTTAGAAAAGCAACCCCAGAAAGCTTGATTCCTCCTTCTGCCATGAAGACACAGTGAAGACAGCCATCTATAATTAAGAATCATGTCCTCACCAGACACTGAATCGCTGGGTACCTTGGTCTTAAGACTTCGTAGTTTCCAGAACTGTGAGAAATAAGTTTCTATTGGGTATAAGCTACCTAGTGTAGTCAATAGTATTTTGTTACAGCAGCCTGAGCAAACTAAAACAGGCATGCATATATGCCTGTATGTATGTATGTGTATATATATAGTGAAAACTAAGTTCCCCCCTACTTTTGACCCTTAGCTTCCTAGCACCTCTTCCTAAAGGTGATGTCTGTAAACTGGGATTCTGTGTATTCTTCAAGATTTAAAACATACATATAACTAGAAATTCACCAAAAGGAACAAATAACTGAACTTAGGTCAAAATGTGCCTACTGTGATCACTCTCAGATGGATTTACAAAAGGACAAGTGGGCTGTACTTCAAATATGTAACTGTTCTCTCATTACCTCTACTTCTGTTCATCAAGCAAATATCTGATAGGCATCTTACTCTTGTTAAGGGAATTCAACACTACGCTGACTCAGTGAATGATAAAAACATGATACTTGCTCTCAAGAAGCTTACAATTTTGCTGAGCGGACACAAGTAGAAAAATATTCTCCCAGGATAACCTTTTCTCTGTTTTCCTTGATCTCCTGAATTCTCTCCAAAACTGGACACTGTGGTTCCTTCCCCTCCACCATCAGTATCCCATCAAACCTGCTGTTTTCCTGAATTCTCCTATTTTCAGTTCATGGTAACAAACTGAGGGGAATAATGGATTGCTGTTTAACCTCACCTCCACTCAACCCTAAGACAGTTTTGCACTCTTACTCCACACCCAGTAGATCAGCAAATTCCGACCACATCCTAAATATTTCTAAAATCCATCCTCTCTATCCCCATATTTCCACTACTGGTTAAGACCAGCATCATCTCTCACCTGGACCATAAACTGACCCCCATACCTAATTCTCTTCCCTCCAATTCTTGCTCCAAACCACTAATCTGAATGATCCCATCTCTAGTGGGTACGACTCACAGGACTTTGCTAATCCACCTTCTATCTACCTCTGCAATTTTATATTTGACACTGCCATCACTTCCCCCTGCATCCCATTCAATTATTTCATCCTCTAACCACACCTGAGTTCTTTCTGGTTCCTCCAATCTATGTTCCACACTTCCATGCTTTGCACATGCAGTTTACTTTCCTTGGGATGCCCCCTCTTTCCTAATCATCCATCTGATCTTGTGATAAGATCTAGAAACCCTCCCTGATCAGGTCTTCTTCCCCGCACTGAACAGTTAATCACTCTCCCCACTGTGATATTACAGATCTTGTATACACTTACATCATTGCCCTTATTTACTCTAAAATAAGAGTATTTATTTACATGCCAGTCTCCCCCAGTAAACTTGGTATTCCTTAATGTTGTAATCCAGTGTCTTATTTTGAAAACCTGGTATCCAACCCAATACACACGAAAATATCTCAATAAATGTTTATTGTATAACTAAGTAAATCAACCCTTCTCTTTCTCCACCTCCCTGTCTCATCTTTTTTTTTTCTGACAACAACCCACAACCATGAGACATGACTTAGTTTAAGGATATAAGTTAGTCATAAGATTTAGGAATTCTGATGCCATGACTGTACTACTCTATCCAAAGGGTAAATCAGCGAAATCCCTGTGTAAGGATAGCACAATTTTCCAGCAGTACCTTAAGTCCAACAGAACAATCTCTTTCCAACACAATCTCATGTCCTCTTGATTCTCATCACAACATAGTCACAGGTTTCTAACTAAATTACAAGGCTCCTTCATCCTTAGCAGGCCCAATCTACTCATCACATGGGCACTTTAAGGTAGAACAAGTTTCACCATTAAAAAGTCTCCATCAATGTATCAGGGATGCCTGGGGGCAATAACTTTAGTTTGTAAGGCTCTTTAAGTAGCTATAATGTTTCCCTGATATATCCCTTGAAACACTGTTCATCTTAAGACCATTTGGCTTTAGGAATATTTGACCACCAATTAAATAATACTAAAAATCCTATAAACAGTCAAGAACAATTCATAGGAAGGTGATGTGTGGAAAAAATGATAGTAAAGGGCCAAATCATTTCTGATCATCCCAGTCTGGGGGTGATCACTCCAACCTCCGAGCTCCTGTAACTGTTATTATAGTACCCAATCCAGACTTGTTCCTGAAATGCTTATCTTACTTACTAGATGATACATTCCTTCGGTGTTTATTTCATCTTTATGATATCCCACTGGCGGGCATATATATTTTTTTAAAGATATATTTATTTATGAGAGAGAGAGAGTAGAGGGAGAGAGAAACCCAAGCACAGAGAAACCCAAGACAACTCCACACGGAGAGCAGAGTCCTGCATGAGGCTCGATTTCATGACCCACAAGATCACAACCTGAGCAGAAACCGAGCTGGATGCCCAACTGACTGTGCCACCAGGTGCCCCCTGACAGGCATTATTTTAAAAACCAATCTCATGCATAAACCCTAAAATGTTCTGGTTGTTGACTCACTTTCCTAGGTAGGATGCCATACTGGAAGGTATTCTGACATGTTCTTAGCAATTATATTTATCATTTAAAAATACCCTAAGTGTTATACAAGAAACACATATACAAGAGATCAGTTTAAACAGTAATGGAACGGTTTCCCCAGAATCTTGTTTTATGAATGGCAAAGCTAAGGTCAAACACTGGAGGAAAATAATCTTTCCCTAACATCAAAAATACACTTCTACAATAACAAGCATCTTTGAATACACACACACTACAAAATGTGCATCTGTAGAATGCTCTACAGCTTACAAAGTAATGTCACACGCTCTTACCCATTTCAGCTCCACAATTCTTATTTTACCAGGGAGTAAAACTGAGTAAGTTGCCTACAGAAATTAACATTTATAGAGGATGTAGTGTTCTAGGACCTATGGTTAACAAATATAACCATAATTCACACACATTATGTGTAAGCAACTTCATGATGTAGGACATTGCTTTTTAAAAACATGCCTGCAAAAGCTGCACAGGTGAGATCATTAATTAAATACAGGATTTCGGGGTTTTTTCCCCTTCATTATGGGTAAATTTGTACTGGGTGTTGTAAAGCAATGCTTCTCAAACTTTAGCGTTCACAAAAATCAGTGAAGATCTTGTTAGAATTCAAATTATGGTTAAAAAGCTCTTGGGCAGGGCCTCAGATTTCTAACTAGCTGCCAGGTGATGCTGACGAGGCTGGTCTGCAGTTGGGTGGCCAGGTTGTAGAACATAAAAAGAATTAACCCTAACTAGCATTACTAAAAAACTTAACAAAACTTTACGGTTTTTTTTTTCATCTTCCATGACTCTGAAGTGAAACTTTCATCATTTCTACTCGACAAGACTAAGGCACAAAGAAATGAACTTTCCTCAGATGACAATCCTGGGGAACCAGGATTCAAACAGGAAAACTGACTCTGCGGGGCACTGAACCGCTACACACTACACCATTATCTCAGTTTACAGGTAGATCCGGAATTCGAAGCCAGGTCCTGAGTTAGCTTTAGTACCATTCCCACTAGTCGGGTCCTTACTATAATTAACGTGCCTGCAGTCAACATCACGTTGTAGGGCAGGGAAAGAGGAAAAAGGAAGGAGACCCTCCCACTTAACACAGCAGGTTAGAGGGAAGGGGTGGCGGTGGCAGGGCTCCCTGGGGACAACTCTCGGGCTACAGGCAGGTCTGCCAACTGTCGGGAGGCTGGCGTTAGGGGCGGGGCGTCGGCCAGGGAAAGGTTCCGGGCGGGACGTACCAACGCGCGCAGGGGAAAGGCTTTCCAGCGGCCAGGACCGCCAGGCTACCTCCGCGCCCGGTGCCGGGGCTCCGAAACTCTTTATCCGGCCCTCGGCCCCTCTGTGGAGTTCTGACGGAGCAAGGCTTTCTTTAGCCACAGCCGCCTCCTTAGAGATTCCTCCTCTGGCCCCTCGGTGGAGTGGAAGGCCCCGGAAATGGGGGCCGAGCGGCACCCGGCCAACCGGGAGGGAGAGTGGCCAGTCGCTTACGAACTCCACTACGCCCCACGCAAATCCCCCGACTCTTTTGCCATCCCCGTATCCCTTACCAGCTCTTTGGGCGGCTTCTCCTGGGTTTTCCCAAACAGCCCCATGGCGAACCGAACTCGTCTTGCCCCTTCCGGCTTTCCGTTCCCTGCGCCCAGGCAGGTCACGGGCAGCCGCCTGGGCGGGGCAGGCGATAGGGAAGGAGCCCAGACTCCCAGAAAAAGGAGCGGCCGCAGGGAGGGTCGTGCGCACGCGTCCGGCGCATGCGCAGAATTGAGCTGGGCGGGGTTTCGTCAGAAAGATCGGCGTTGTTGCGCATCTTCTGGTAGATTTGTAGATCCTTCCGACGAGTTAGGCGTGTTTTAGCCAGGTGTGGAAGTGATTTTTTTTGGAAGATGCGAATTTATTAGCTACACGTGGTGATTGCAGCTGCTCCTCATACTTCCGCTAAACCTGTATGTTGTTGCACAGAAATCTGTATCTCCGCCTGGACGAGGTCCAGTTAAAACCACTTTGCGAACGGCGTGTATCTTCTAGGCACATCACATGCAGAAAGCCAGAAATGACCGCTTCTTCCTCCCTCTAGACCTACTCCTACCCTGTATTGTCGCCCCCATTACCTAATCATTCTAACCTGGGCATTATCTTCTCTCCTCCTCTTATCAAGTCTCAACAATGGTAACTTCTCAATGTGTTCGAACTCCCGCCGTCACAGTGTCACAATGTTCAAGCGATCGTCATTTCCCACGTGGATGATTCCTGCCTGGCATTTGTGTGTGTGTCGTCCTGTGCGCCGCATGGACCATGACCTTAATCAAATTCTCAAAGGTATTTGTGATTAAAAAGGACCAGACTTGGGGCACCTGGGTGGCTCGGTGGGTTAAAGCCTCTGCCTTCAGCTCCTGGGATCCAGCCCCGTATTGGGCTCTCTGCTCAGCGGGGAGCCTGCTTCCTCCTCTCTCTCTGTCTGCTTCTCTGCCTACTTGTGATCTCTGTCTGTCAAATAAATAAATTAAAAAAAAAAAAAAAAAAAGGACCAGACTCATTTTAGCCTGGTAAGCTGATTGAACCTGTGCAGTGAGCTGATGGTTGCTGTCATTACCAAAGGTCTTGGTGAAGGGACCACTCATTTAGTGCCCACAACTCCATACTCCGTCTATCGTGGGAATGTAAAATGGTACAACCATTTTGGGAAGGTTTTGGCAACTTATTAAATGCTAAACATACACCTAACTTATGCCATTCCACTGCTAGCTAGTGGAGGTAAAGCACAGGTCTTTTACAAAAACATAAATGGCTGTTCGTAGCACCTTTATTTGTAATAGCCAAAAGCCAGAACTAGTCCAAATGTCCATCGAAAGATGAATGGATAAATCAGTTGTGATAGACCCATGCAATGGAATACTACTCAGCAATAAAAATGAACAAATCTTTGATACACGTGACAACATGGATGAATCTCAAAATAATTATGCTGGAAGAAGCCAGAAAAAAAAAAAGAGTAGTACTGTAAGATTACATTTATATAGCATTCTAAAAAATGCAAACTAGTCTATAGTGACAGAAAGTAGCTCAGTAGTTGCTAGGGGACGGGTTAGTTTAGGAAGAGGCAGTAAGGACAGACTACAGGGACACATAAGGACGCTTTTGGGGGTGATGGATATTCTCTTAATTGTGGTGATGTTTTCACAGATGTATACAATGTCAAAACAAATGGATACTTTCAATACGTTTAGTTTATGTCAATCATACTTAAATAAAGTTCTTTTAAAAATAGCAGTACAGGTTCATTGTAAAAATTAAAATCCCATTCTTAGTTCCTCAGGGGAAAAGTTCTCAAAGGACCTTATAATTAAGTTATTATAATTATAAGGACACCTGGGTGTCTCAGTTGTTTAAGTGTCTGCCTTCCGCTCAGGTCATGATCCCCGAGTCTTGGGATCAAGCTCAGTGGGGAGTCTGCTTCTCTTTCTCCCTTTCCCTGCTCATGTCCTCTCTCTTACTCTCTTTCTCAAATAGATAAATAAAATCTTTTAAAAAATATAAGTATACATAGTGTGAATCGTTTGAGATCTTTTCCTTCGGAGAATATGCTTTTATATATTTTTACTCAGTTGGGATCATATTATATGTATTGTTTTGCAATCTCCTTGTTTTAAAAATTATTTTATTGGTTTATTTGACAGAGAGACACATCGAGATTGGGAACACAAGCAGGAGGAGTGAGAGAAGGAGAAGCAGGCCTCCCACTGAGCAGGAAGCCCCATGGGGGGCTCCATCCCAGGATTCCAGAACCATGACCCGACCAGAAGTCAGATGCCCAAAGACTGAGCCACCCATGTGCCACTGCAATCTCTTTTTTAAAAAATATTTTACATAGATTTTCATTGCTGTTAATATTTATAGCTAAGGAGTTCTGTGGCAGGAATGCACTAAATTTTTTAAATCATTTCACTATTGTATGAGGTCAAGTGCTTTCCAAATTTTCCCTATTAAATAATAAATGTAGACATAGTTTAAATTTTAAGAATACAACCAATGTTCTCCATACAGGTTGCACAGTTTTGAACTACCAACGGTGTATGAGAGCATCCTATTTCCTAAACCCTTGCTAACAAGAAATGTTAATATTTTGCACTTTTGCCAATCTGAGGGTATAAAATACTGTTCTTAATTTTCATTTCTAGGATTACTAGTCTAGGTGAGCATCTTTTTGTATATTTATTAGCTATCTGAAATTCTGTTAATTACTTCTTTTATCCTTTGCCCATTTTCCATTGAATTGTTTTCCTTCTTTCCTTTCCTCTTTTTTTTTCTTAATGTGAAGGAACTCTTTGAAATGAGAAATCTGCAGACATTTTTTTTAAGATTTTATTTATTTGACAGAGATCACAGGTAGGCAGAGAGAGAAGAAGGGAAGCAGGCTCCCTGCTGAGCAGAGAGCCCAATGTGGGGCTCCATTCCAGGACCCTGGGATCATGACCTGAGCCGAAGGCAGAGGCTTTAACCCGCTGAGCCACCCAGGCGCCCCTGCAGACATGTTTTTAAAGTTTCCTTCACCATATCACTCCTCTTCTTTTTCTTTCTTTTTGAATGAACTATAAGGCAGCAAATTTTCATGTAGAAAGATACTGAACTTCCGTTGATTCAACAATATTTATCAAATGCCTACTATGGGTCAAACATTCTATAGCCTCTAGGAAAACTAGAGTGAACAAAAAAGAACCTCATACAATCTGGTGAAGACAGGTATTAAACAATGGTCATCCATAAAATTAAGTGAATAACTACAAATGCACAAAATTCTGACCCTAAGAAGAACACGATGGTTAGTGAGTCATTCCTGAAGGTCATATACAAGTGAGCCTTGAAGGGTGAGCCAGCAGAGGTATGAGAAATATCCAGTACAAAAGAAACAGCATGTGCCTACGAGCCTTCCCAGGTCTGGGGGTGGGTTTTGGGCCACAGGCACTTCAATTCCTAAAGCTGCACTTGTTTTAAAACTGGTTATCAAGGGTGGTGAGGCCAAAGAGAGTGTGGAGGAAGGCTGGACTGGGCATGTGGCATCTATCTGAAATGCAGAGTCCATAGCTACTGATAGAGCCCTGTAAAACACCAAAGCAGTTTTTCTCAGTGACTAAAAGGGCACCGTGCATCTTCCACACATTTTCCAGGCTCCACCCTTGAAGCAACATACCCTCTACTTGTGTCCTGATATTGCTTTGGCACTAGACAAAACTGGCTACAGCTATAGTTTGTCCTTCATGCATGGACCTCAGGAAGCATGCACCAGATCCTCCCACCTGCTAAGACTCACATCTGAAGGGGTGGGAAGAACTAAGTGAGCAGGCATTCTAGCTCTCTGCTCCTGCCAAACACAGCAAGTGTTTAACAGGATCACACTCCCTTGCCATATGTTCACAAAGACGTTTATTCACACACAATTTCAAAGGTTTTATGTGTGTTCTCCTGATCCCTGAAAAATATTATAAATAGATCCATATCCCTCACTTGAAAGGTACTGCAATGCCTGAGGCTTTAAATATTTCCCTGAAAAAAAAAATTTCCCTGAACAAAAAATAGAAAGGACTGTTTTTCCTCCATTCCCCAGATTGTCCTTGCTCATTTTGCAATATTTCCCATCTTACAGAGCATTGTAGCTCACAACTGCGCCCCATTCACCAGGTAGACTGTTAAATGAAATGTTTTGGGCAAGAAAAACACAACCCAATTCCTATCAGGAATTTTGGCCTAATAAAACCAAAATACACTTCGTTTTATATAACAGATGGATTCTGAAAATGTTAGATGGAAACTGAACTATGGAAAATTGAATTCCTTTCCATGCCTTATATAATAATTTGGGGATGGGTCTATCTAAATTTCTGGCTAATCTTCAGCTCTCAGGGGCTCCTAGCCACAGCTTATGACTTGAGAGAAGGCTAAGAAAGACTTTGAGTCATCTGCCGATTTCCAGCATTCCTCCACCAACCCTGCGATTACCCTGTACTGGTTTCCCAGGGCTGCTCCAACAGAGTACACCAAAACAGGTGGTTTAAAACAACAGAAATTCATTCTCTCACTGTTCTGGAGACTAGAAATCCAAAATCAAGGTGTCAGCACAGTCATGCTTCATCTGAGACTATGGATAGAATCTGTCCTTTCCTTTCCCTAGGTTCTGCTGATGGCTATCAATCATTGGCATTCCTTGGCTTGTAGGTGCATTACTCCAATCTCTGCTTCTGTCATTACATGGTGTTTATATGAGTCAGCTTGGGCTGCCATAACAGGATACCATAAATTAGACAGCTTAAACAACAGAAATTTATTTTCTCACAGCTCTGGAGGCTGGAAGTCTGAGATAAGTACCAGCATGGTCAGGTTCTAGAGAGAGATCTATTCCTGGTTTGGACTTTTTGCCATGTCGTTACATGGTAGAGAGAGCAAGTTGTGGTATCTCCCTCTCTAATGAGGGTACTAAGCTCATCATGAGGTCCCTACCCTCATAATCTCATCTAAACCTAATTATCTCCCAAAGGTTCCATCTCCAAATGCCAACACATTGGGCACAAATGCATTTTTAAGGATGACACAATTCAGTCAATAGCAATGTTCCCTGTGTGTTTCTCTTCCTCTTCTTATAACTAAACCAGCCACATTACGGACCCACCCAAATCCCCCACAATCTTGTCCTAACTAATTATATCTATAATGATCCTATTTCCAAATAAGATCACATTC